CTCTGGCCTCCAGCACTGAGGATAAATTTCTGTTCTTAAGCCACCCCGCCTGCGGCGACGTGCTATGGTAGCCCTGGGAAACAAACACAGCAAGTGAACTGGCTTTCCGTTGCCAGCAGCAAAGACTCCCTTTTAGAGACTGAGCTCATGAGCTGGTCAGGAGTCAAGGAAGTGACCCTTGAGTGTTAAGTGTGTGTCTGCGGGGGCGCATGCTACCGTGGGGGGTGAGAGGCAGTCCGGCTGAGCTGGTGGAGGCCACCAGGAGGAGGATGGGGGTGTGTGTGCCCAGAGCAGCCAGGCTGAGGGCCAGTGGTGAGGGGCCCAGGGGTGGGGTGCTGAGGTGATCCAGGCAGTGGACCCCTTGGCCCTGAGGTCAAGGTAGGCCTCCCGTTGCTCCATCCGTACGCCAGTTCCCGGGAAGCCCTGTGTGTTCCTGGTTTGATGATTCAGAGCTGTCTTCCTTTGGAGAAAAGCACTTGAGATATGGAAGGTTATTTCCCACCACCCTGAAGTGCCACGGGGAGGCAGGACAGGAGGGGAAGGGGGTTTCCAGCAGGCGGCGGCTGGGAAGCGGTCCCTGAGTACAGGGCATGAGGTCACTTGCAGGCAAGATGCTGCCCACTGCCCTCCCCCTTCCAGGTGCCATCAGAGGTTGTGCAGGCAGGCCTGCCACCTGAGTGCCCTCCAGGCAGACTCTGGCTAGGCCCTGGATGTGGCCTCGAATGCGGGATTGCTTCTGAGGACACACAATGTTCTTGGTGAAGCCTCTAAAACCTGCGAGGGGCTGCCCAGCCTGAGACTGGAAGAGGCAGGTGACTGTCCCAAGGCCATTCCTGGGTTAGAACCTGGGTTGGACGGGGTGTGAGGGAAGCTGCCACTGAGGGTCCTATGCTGTGTCCCCCCAGAACCCCTGCTGCCTGCCCTGACCTGCAGCAACCCTAACTGCCTTCCAGGCAGGCCTGGTCCTGGACTTCCTCGCAGACACAGACACCCAGGCCCAGATGTGGCCATGGCCACGTGGGTGAGCAACAGTCTGGCCTCATCCTTGACCTCCCAAAGAAAAGCTGTGTTTCCCGGAGGCCGAGGGGGCAGGAGGAAAAAGCCCGGATGGTGCATGGGGCCCTCTGGGTACTGTCTCAAGGTCTCACTGAAGGTCTGGGGTGGCATGTGCTTCTGGATCATAGACAAGTGTTCCAGGTGGTTCCTACACTGGCTCACGGCTGACAGCAGCTGCTGTCCCTCTTCTCTCCATAAACCTCCGGGGGATGCTGGCCCTGCAGGGGTGTTTCAGGCCTGCAAGGGCAGCACAGAGCAAGCGGGTCTGGGCTTGCACTGCAAGACTCTTGGGAAGCTCGTGGAAACTGGCTGGGCCTCAGTTTCTCCAGTGTGAAGCAAGCAAGACCTTACAGTGTCGGCCCTGCGGCTCCTGGCACAAAAGGTCCATGAATGACATCCAGTCACTCGATGTTGTTTTGTTACAACCTTGAGAGAAAACAAACCCCGGCCACGGTGAACGAAAGGATGAGGCTGTTGACGAGGCCCTGCTTCCGTCCGGTGTTGCTTTGCTTTGAGTCAGTTTCCAAGACCCAGCGACCCACGTGAGGACTAAGTAGGGACATGCTACTGTTGGCCTCTGTCACCACCTGAGGGGGCCTCTGGATGAAGAGAGCCCAGCCCCCCACTGCCCTGCCCTGGTTTCGCCTCCACCCAGGCTCTCGTCCCCTGCTCCCTGAGGATCCCTGCTGCTATGGGACTGGGGTGCTACAGGGGGACCCCGGCCCAGCAGGCCACTGTGTGGCCTCACGGACAGACTTGGGAGGAGCTGACCAGGGATAGGCCGGGTCAGGTGGGGAGGGTGGCTGGGGGCAGCCAGTGCCTCCTGGACCCCACCCTCAGGAGCAGCCCCCACCCCGGGCATGCAGAGGTGATGCTTTGGGCTTGATTTAGGGTTTACCCCCAAGGCTCTGGAGGTCCTGGATTTTTCTTGGCCAGGTTTAAGCCAGAGCATCTGTGAGAATCTGTGAACCCATTTCCAGGCATTTCTTGAGTTCATGCTGGTACATGTCAGTGTGTTCTGGGAGGGCGCCCACCCTGGCACGAGCATCACCCTGCCATTGGTGGTGGGGTGGGGGGCTTCCTGTGTTCCCTGACCCCCAAGCACAGCACAGCAGCAACCAGAAGCTCCGGGGCCCTCCAGAGCGGGCCCTGTGAGGCAGGGCTGGAGCACATGCAGCAGCTGAGGCCTGGGGGAGAACCTGCCCAACAGGTGAGGGATGCAGGACGCAGATCAAGTTCACTCACTGCACCTGGCGGGGCGGGGGCAGCTGCTTTCCCCCCACCCCCCATAGGACGTGGGGACCACTTGGCCAGGGCAGTGCGTGCCGCTCTCTGGCCAAAGGTCACAAGGACAGCCTTCCCGTCTGCCGGACCAGGGCCACAGCGCCACCAGCCACTTGCCATTCTTGGTAACTCTTTTATTGCCAAGTTCAGATTTACAAGGAAGTCCCAGTTTTCATTTCCACCCTGGTGTTCGGTACCCAAGAAGCGTGAGTCACGCTGGCGAGAGCAGGTACTTCCCTGGAACAGCCCAGAAGAAGGTTTCCCAGCCCCGCGCCTCCTTGGGGCTCGATTTACATATGCTCAGCTCACAGGAACACAAGGGCCTCTTACGGTTTATGTCCATGTCAACATGACTACATTAATATTCCTTACTTATTGCATCTGGAGAAATGAGAATTGGTTCACCCCATGTTTGTTTTGTTTTGTTTTTTTACAGTGCATCTTGAGACCTTGGAGAAATCGTGTGTGACTTTAAGAGGCGTGTCTTCTCCCTCGCCCCGTGGCTTGTTAATGCAGGTGTTCGCTGGGGGGCATCGGGCAGGGCAGGCGAGATGGGGAAGGGCAGCAGAAAAAGGGCTGCTTATGGCGGGTGGGGTTTCCATCCCTTGTTCTCAAGGCGGCTTGGGGCTGGTCTCCTGCTCTTCTCTGGGGGTGCTCCTGGCCTTGCCCATGGGACCATTCGGGGTACACTCAAGCCCCAGCTGGAAATGACTTCACACCTTTCAAAGGCAAAGTTTGAGGGGGTCATGCGGCCAATCCTGCCAGACTAGGCCACCCCAAGGGGCCTAGTGGTGGACTTGGGGAGGGCGGCCCCTTTCTCTGCAGGGACGTGGAGATGGCGGGCTCCATGGCTTTGGCAGGGCTGATCCTGATGATCAGCGTCTAGGACCTGCATGTTGGAGGCCACGGCCGTCTGCTTGGGCTCAGGAATTCCTGGCTCTGCCTCGCTCTGGGCGACACCAGAGACCTCTGTCTGGACTGGCTGCCCGGGACCAACCCTGCCAGCCCCACTCCGTCAGCAGCCCACGGAGCCTGTCTGCGTCCAGCTCCCCGGCCTCAGCAATGCTGCGGCTGCTGGTCCCCCCAGGGGCCTTTCTTCAGTGCTCAGCAGCCACAGGATTTGGGATGGCCGGCCGGGGTTGCTCGGGAGGGCCTGGTCCCTCTGCGGGGGCTTGCTCCTTACAGTGAGGCCTGGGAAGCTGCCAGCCTTCTCTCATTTTGCTGCTCCAGTGTCTCCTCTCAACAGCAAGGGCCGGCCGGCTCCCCCCCTGGTCTCCACCCTTCCCGGGGCCTTCCCTCCCTGGGGGTTCTGGGATGGTCCTGGCTTGCCCCTCCCTCTGGGCCCCTGGTTTTCTATGGAAATGGCCTCCTCTCACAGCAGGGACTTTTCTCTGTTGAAGCTGGTGAGCGCACCTACAGGGTGGGCGTCTGTGCCAGGAGCTCTGCCCTGGAGCACGGCCCTCCTCTGGGAGCACAGCTGGTGTGAAGGCAGTGCGGACGGGCCGTTGGGGCCTCTCCCGACGCCCGGGCACAACACTCCGGGTGCCCAGGCCTCAGGGAGCCTCACGCTGGTTTCAGCAGGGACTGAGCAGGGGGGTGGCTGGGCCGAGCCCAGGTGAGGGGACAGGGCTCTCGGGTGCTTGCCTGGCGACGACGTCTGAGCAGCAGCGCCACATGCCCAGCCCAAGTGGAGGAGGGAGCCGCGGGCTCACTTTAGAAACAAGCCTGAGCCCCCAGGATGAGGACCCCACGAGGGGCGCTCACCTTCCACCCCAGCGCAGGCAACGCTGCTCTGGCCTCCACCACCCTTTCTGTCCATCACGCCGGCGGGGGTGCTGCCTTCTAGGCCCGAATGGGTCAAACCCAGGGGTCAACGACTGGAGATGAGGCTTGAAGAGGGTCCAGTCTGGGTTTGGTGGGGAGCGGCGAGGAAGGTCCGGAGCGGGAGCTGGCCTCCCGCCCCTCTCCCGGGCTGGTCCTCAGGTCACGCCGGGCCTCCCGGCTGCCGCGGCCGAGAAGCTTCCGGCTCTCGGCTCTGTGTGTACCTGAGAATACGTCTTCTTTAGTTTGGCTTAAAAAATATTCTAGGCTTTCCAAGAAGGTACTTGATCATTCCACCGGCTTGCGGAGTGAGCGAGTCCTACAGAAGGAAGAATCCTTGAGGAAAACGGCCGAGGGCAGGCCAGGGACTCTGAAGCAAAAACGCTGGAAGTTCAAGGGAAAACGAAAACGAGGTCTTCTCACACGGCATCCAACGTGCGGGCGGAGGGTGTTTTTGGATTGGTTTTAAAAGACTTTTTAAAATAAATGTTTTTCATCTGCTGCCAAAAGCAGAAATAAATATCCAAAGGAGATGCTTATCTAAGTTCTACAAATTTCTACTCAAAGTGACCTGGCCTGCTGCTTCTGCGCGTACTGGGGACGATGACGGAGAAGCTCTGGGGCTGGGAGCGGCCGTCCCGCCACCCGGCCAGCGAGCCCCGAGCCCCGGAGCCCCCTCTGCTGGGTCGCCGGGTCGCGGGGTGGGGGCTCCGCGGGTCCCCGCCTGTGCGCAAAGAGGCTCCAAGCTGAATTCTAAGGGAGCCCCGAGGGCAGGGAGAGGTGGCTGCGAGGGTCACTGGGGCCTCGGGGAAGCTCGGGGCTCCCGGCGTGTCCCTGCCAGGGCCCGGCTCAGTGCCCGGCCGCAGCCTCCGGCTCAGGGCGCGCGGCCTCCTCCCCGGGGGCGGCGGTGCCGGCTGCGGCTGGCGTGGGCGGCGGGGGGATGCTGGTGAGGGTGCGGAGGCTGCAGGGGTCCACAGGAGGGACGAGGGTCAGCGACTCCACGCTCAGCGTGTCGGCAGTGTCCTCGCAGAGCAGGGAGATGGTGGGCTGCTGGGCGGGGATGAGGCTGGGGGACAGGCTGGCGGTCTCCACGTCTGCGCTCCTAGCCAGCGTCTTGCTGGGCCGGGCCTCTGCTTCTGTTTCGCTGACCATCACCAACTGGTCGGGGGGGTTAGGCTGAGGCGGTTCTGTCGTCGGGGAGTCATCTGGGCGAGGGGAAAAAACCAAAGGCACACTTAGCTCTGAGACGCTCTGCGCTGCGCACGCCGCACCCCCGGCCCCGTCCTGAACAGGCCCAGGGAAAGCTGGGGGGTGGGTGGGGAGGGAAGAGATGGCTGCTATTGGGGGAAAAGCTTGTCTCCGCTTCCTCCTTCTGGGGCACAGAGGCTGGCCCGTCCGGTCTTCCACAGGGCTGGGGGAGAGCCCGTCGGGCTCAGGGCCACCCTGACTTGTGAGGCGAGGGAAGAACTAGGGGCGCATCAGGGAAGCAGTTCCCGGGTGCTGGGGAACAGCCCAGGCAGGCTGTGCTGGGGTGAGTCGAGGGCCCCCCGCCTGGTGGTGAACACGCGTTCAGGGGAAAAGAGGCTTGGGTGTCTACACCTAGTGGCATTTGCCCAAGAAGAAACCCACTGCCATAGTAAAGGGAAAAAAAGGGAATTCTCTGCAGCTTGCAAAACCAAAACAAAATCTTGGATGTGGTCTGTCTCCTGCTCTGAGTGCTGAGTCAGCGCCCAGGAAGGCGCTGTGGCCGTGGGGGCCACTCGAGAAACCACGCGGGAGGCTCCACCTGATGACGGATGCTGTTGTTTTCAGAGCAGCCATGCCTTTTTTCGGTGCTCTTCAAAATCCTTGTTTGGGTTACAATCTACCCATCTGCTTCCTGGTGAACCAGCCGAGAGCCTGAGGTCCACGGTGGAAAAACATCTCCCCAACTCCAGAGGGTGGTAATTTACAAACATTGCTAAGGAAGCTGTGGGTCTCTTGCTTGAAAGCAAATTTTTATTTGCAACAAGTCGTGGGGCAACGAGCCCTCGGGCAGCAGGGCGGGCAAGCATGCCGGGCCTGGGGTGCTGGGAATGTCCTGGGACGCAACGGGAGTCCAACGTCAGACTTTTTTTCCCTTTTACGTGAAGCCAAAACAAAACAGAAGCACAAACTAAACACAGAGCAAAAGGATGGAAGAACCAGGAGCAAAATAAAGGGCACACAGGTGGGATGAGGAGGCAGAGGATGCGCGGGCAGGAAGCTCAGGGCCACACCCAGTCTCCCAAGGCTTGCCCCCCCGCTGCCCCCCGCGAGACTTGGGGGAGTCGGGCTCTGACAGGGCTCAACTCACGGCTTCGTAGACGGTTTTCTGTTTGTTTTTGTTTTTAGGAAAATGGGCTCAGGGAAAATCACCGACTGCGTGGGGCTTGGGGTCGGCCTGGTTCGGGGCGGGTGGCTGAGCACAAGCGGAACGTGATTTGGGGGTGAGCCGCACCCAGGGGTGTGGAGCAGCACTCTGAGAGCACCCCGGTTTCTCTGGGCCTCAGCGAAGGTGCACCCTTCAGTATGGAGTCTGTGGGGAGGGGCTGGTCTGCTGGGCATCAGACGTGGGGTTCTGAGCATGGGCCTCCAGCTCCCCTCGGGGAGACTGCATCACTGCGGGCAGCTCAGAAATGGCGAATCCTCGGAAAGGCGCTTTTGTGCCACCTGGAGACATCTGGGTAGCATTTCCTGGGGCTCCTCTAAACTGCGGCTGGAGGCCCCCTGCCTGCTTTTGCATGTAGATGTTCAAAAAGGCTGCAAACCTCTTCCCCCACCCCTACTGGGGCATTTGGGGGTGAGGATAATCAAGGATGCGGGAAAGTTGTCAAAAACAAAGAACCAACAAACAACACCACATGCACAAAACTGATTTTGTCGTTAGGAAAAGAACTAACAGTTTTATTAAAGGGGTGTTTTTTCCCTGAAATAATAGACTGATTTCTTCACCCGTCAGCCACCGCACTCCCTAGGAACTCAGAACTGCTTCCTGAACGTGATGTCCCAATACACAAGAGGGGAAGAGGGAGAACCTGGCCGGGTTTCCACCAGGGAGAAGGACTGGGCCGGTGAGGGCTCACGTCCCTGTCGAGGGCAAAGGTTACTGCTGCCCCGCTGGGCTGGAGTCTTGAGTTACAAGTTGGGGTCAGGGAACACTGACTTCCAGGAGAGGAGGCTGGAGCGGGAATCCCCAGACCCCCAGGTTTCCCTGGCCCTGCCCCAAAGTGACCCCCAGCAGCAGATTCTGTGTCCTAGGCTGGTCCCTTTCGAAGCTGGTCTGCAGCTTTGGGGCAGGGGCTTGGCTGACCCTTGTCAAGCGAGTGGCAATTTCCAATGAAAGTCTGGGTTTGCGGTGCTCAGGCTGGGGTGGGGGCCGCGAGACGTGGGCGGGGGAGGGGGGCAGGAGGCACAGCACAGCATAGCGAGTGGGGGCAAAGCACAGAGGAAGCGGCTTGAAACGCAAAAGAAGGCAAAAGGCTCCTGACTGCCAGGCGGGGGCGGGGAGGGGCCCACTGAGGCCGGGCAGGGGCGTCTGGAGCACTAAAGGAGGGGGATGCGCCCCAGTCCAGCCACGGTGGCTGAGCATTAGGATTTTGGCTGCAACGTGGCTGAATCCATCACTCAGCTTCGAGGAGGGTCAGGGAGAAAGGAAAAGACAAAAAAGAAGCTAATTCACTTTTTGGTTGCTTTTTGAAAAGTCACCCAACCCTGGTGGCCTAAACTGGGGGACATTTCCAGGCTGACGTGGGGTAAAGGGCCGGGGGATTTAAAGGATGGCTCCTCAGACAAGCGAGGCCGTGAAGGCCTGTGGGGGAAGGGGAGGAGGGGACCCGCTGCGGCTCTCGGGTGCCCCCCGGGCTCACGCGGGTGTCCTGGGGGCCCCCTGGGCTCCACCTGTATGCAGGCCCTGCGGGTGGCGGGTGCAGCGCGGAGGGCGGGGGCGGCTGGGCCCACGGAGGCTAATGGAGGAGACCTGCCTGCGTGGACCGTGCGGGAGTTGCCGTGACAGCTGCCGGTCGAAGCACTAAACCCAGTGGCCGCCGTGCCTGTCGGCCTCCGACAGGCTGAACACTCGCCGGCGTCCTTTCCTGCCACTCCTGACTAGAGGGAAACACAGCGACAGATCATAGAAAGCCTTTAACAATGGGACAGAGGAAGTGACATGGAGGGGGACACAGAGCAGCGATGGACACCAAGCATCGACAAGAGCGCGAGGGGAGGGGGTGCCCCGAGGGAGCTCGTGACAGCGGGTGTGTGGAGCACAGCCCCCCACGCCGGGGACACCCCCACTCCGCTCCCTGGGACCAGGTGGGGTCGGGACAGCTAGGAACCAAGTGGCTCGCGCGTGGGACTCAATCGGGGTAAAGACGGTGAGTTTGGTCCTGTTGGGAAAGAAAGACGGGGTCGTCAGCGCAGCTGGTCTCGGTTCGAAACCTCTGGGAGGACGAACACAATCGCCTGCCAGTTTTAGGTGTGAGCCGGCAGGGAAGGGTGAAAGTCGGGTACCCCACGAGAGACTGGGGAGGGGACGCTGTGTGAGTGCAGGGCCGGAGCCAACCCAGCTCGTGAAAGCAGGTCTCAGAGCCCCTGGGGTCGCCCACTAAAGCTTGCAGCGTGGCCCTGTGAGTTCTGGGAGGGCCTCGGACATGAGGGGCACCCTGCGATCCCCCTCCCGGCCGCCGGCCAGTGCTCTCGGGATGAGGCCCAGGGACCCGTGTCCTTGAAAACCAAGACTGCACCGCAGCAGGAAGATCTGAGCCAAGGTGCCGTGTGGCCGCGGGCGGGTTCTACCGACTGGAGCAAAAATGTCCGGAGTATCGCCGCCAGGAAGGAAGCACGGACTCAAGTCAGAGCGACGACACCAAACGTGGAGGTGCGGGACAGACGGTGCAAGTGGCTACTGCCTCCGGGCTGTACTTATGCTTAAAGATGGGCACGGGGCTACACTTTGTGGTGCGTGTATTTTACCACAAAAAGGTGCCTCGGAAGATGCTGGGGAGGAAAACGCACCCATCTGACGAGCGGTTTCTGTCCATAAAAGTCCCGCCTGACCACGGTCAGGGGCATGGCTAGCTCTCAGTCAGCCCTCATGGGGCTGGGCGCTGGGGTGCGGGCCTCCGTTCACACGGCAGGCTGGGATGTGGGGAGGGGGTTCTGCGGGCTCCTGCTGCTGGGCCACTGGGAACCAAGCTCCTCCTTTCTCTAGACCCTTGAGGATGAGTCCAGGTGGCCGCAGCTCAAGCCTCCGCGTGCCTTACAGTGGACATGGGGACAGCCCCGCCCTCTACTCAGACTCTACGTTTCCACACACACTCTTCCATCCTCCTCCTAGAACGTGTGGGAAACAGCAGCCTGGAGGTTGGGGGCAGAGGCCTGAGAGGGAGCTCGGGTGGGTCACAGGTTTGTAGCCGAGGGGCCAGATTTCTCGTCAGAATCCCACGGAGAGGCTGGGTGTGAGTGGGCACGTGGGTGTGCACGTGCGCATATGCCTCGTGTGTGCGTGTGCACATGGGCGTGACACGGAAAATCTTTCTAAGATATTCCTACTGGTTCCACAATTGGTTCCAAAATTGGGTCTATTTTCTTTTTCCCGCCATATGTTCTCTACAATTTCGGCTTCTCAAAACCATAATATGTTTAAGGGGGAAAATATGCTGACTCAACCCTGTAATTTTCTCACTGCGGAACAAGCTGAGGCCTACCAGGCCAGCTCTGCCGACGAGTGGGCGACGCGCCGCCGGGTTCCTGGGCGCGCCCGCCTAGCCGGCGCCCAGCTCTGCCCTGGGACCGGGGGCCCGACGGCTTCTCTGTCAAGCACGGTGGGAACAGGTGGCCTCTCATTTCGGGTGTTAAAACCAGACAGGTAAACGACTGACCCTGCAGATAAAATCTCCTCGCTCCCCACTCTTTCTGGTTGGTTCCCCTGGTTACCAAGGAATTCAGTTTTGACCCTCCCTGCAGCCTGCAGCATCTCTTGGCCCGATTTGAGGGAAAGCCCTTGCTGAAAAGCCCCTCACAAGTGTCCACATTCTGTCTCGGGCACGCGGAGCAGGTGCTGCTGGCACAGAGGGCGCCAACATCCTTCCTGGGCTCGTGGAAGGGACATCTCCCCAGAAGCCCCCTATATGCCTTCATCATAGTCTGTGAGCATCTGTGAGGGTCACAGATGAACCCTGAAACCACCCCCTTCCACCCCCCACCCCGCTTGCCTGGAGGTTCCATGCTCTGTGCTGCCCTGTGTCCCCGGAGCCTGCACGTAGTAGGGACTCAAAACCCAGTTAGAAAAAGCTAACATGTGGGGGAGGGGACCCAAAGTCATAGATAAGATGCAGACACGGGCCACTAAGAGGCCGAGAGGGAGGCCCGCTCGGCGGGAACTACTGAGGTAGGTCTGAGGGCCACAGGCTCAGCGGGACACTGGGCCTCTTACAAACCAACCCCGGCAGGAAACAGATGGTCCCCAACATATCTGGCCCTCAGTTTCATGCCCTCATTTGGGGATGAACCCATTTGGGCTGGCAGAAGTGGCCCTCTGGGGTTTACTCTTGCTGCTGATTTCGGGGGACCACCAGGTCTCCCCTCAACAGGAGCCCATACAGCCTAGTCAGGCTGGGCCTGTGACCAGGCTGTGGCTTTTCCAGTGGGTGCTGGAGCACCAGGCACATGGGAAGGAGAAGTGTGCACCTGAGTGACCCCGGCCAGGATCCAAGCTGAGGCCAAGGCCAGGGACACCCTGGGAGCCAGACGAGGTAGACCCAGGAGCTGTGCGGCTGTTCCACTGGTTGTTTCGGAGCGGAACGTGGGGTGGGGTGGGTTGCCCAAGTTGAGGCTCACACTGGGCTCCTCCTCACAGCTGTTGCCTCTGGGTCAAGCCGTGTGAGCTTCCAGAGCCCCTGGATTTTCAGCTATGCAGGTGTGGTAGAGTGGGGCAGGATTCCGTGAGGGGGTGTCTGCAAAGTGCCTCCAAGTACCATGCCTGCACACGGGGCTCAGCTTGGGGGGCATCCACTGCAGACAGCATGTGGCCCCCCTGGGCTTTTTAAGGTAACTTTGTGCAACTCCAGGTTTCAAACCATGGAGAAGAGATGTGGCCCACCAGCCTGTCCCTGGTGGGGTGACACCTGTGCTTCCGCGTCCCCGCCCCAACACCTGGACATGTGAAGTGAATCTTCAAGGGCAAAGAAATCTGCTCATGTGGGCCTCAAAGCTGCCTTCCCTAGCAGGGAGCCTTCTGGATGCAGAGGCTCTGGAAGCACAGGGACAGGTGCGCTTCAAGAGTCAGCCCTGTGCCCTCAAGCGGCCCCTTGGCTATGCGGCAGCTGCTCTCTGCTGTCCCCGCTGGGAGGGTGATGGGGAGAGGCATTGGCCCGTGGCGCCCCACCGTGGTCTAGGGTGGCTGCCTCTGGCCACTGTGGTAGGCCCCAGCCAGGGAGAAGGAGCACAGAAGCCTGACCCATGCCAAGTCAGGAAACGGGCAAAAACCCGCCTGACAACAACTGCCTCCCCCTCCTATCCTGCCAGGTAGGATATCCCACAGATGCTGGAGCCATCTGGTCAAGTCCTGCCCTGTGGGAAACACGGAAACCCTGGGTGCTGCTTTCTGGAAGGAGCTAGGAGGTTGAACAATCTGGCCTGGAAGTTTGGCATCACAAGGTAAGTGACCGGAGGTCCTGCAACCTGCCGCCCCAGCTCATGAGCCTGGGGATGGGGCTGGCTCCGGGGCCAGGCACCTATGCCCGCAGTCACCGCGGCTGAGAGTAAGGTGCACCTGCCCGAGAGGCCAGCTGCTAATCGGAAGATGAGTTACTTTAGCGTCTGCAGGCCTCGGACATGTTTGGGTGCACGTAACACTTGGGCCCGGGCAGCAGAGTTGGGCAGCATAAAAATGGAACCTGCCTGCCTACCTCCCCAGGCCTGCCAGGGACGCCCCGAGCGGGAGCAGACACCCGAGTGGCCTGACCGTCACTTGTCGCCAGAACGGCCTGGCTACCTGGCGGCCTGGCTGACGGCCCCTGCACTTCTGAGAGAAGCAGTCAGTGGAACCGAGCGGGGGTGGCGTGGGCTAGAATGGAGGGCCCGAGGGAGGCCACGGAAACAGACTGATACGCCAGAGCCCCTGAGCCTGGCGCGGGGCCAGCACAGGTGAGCACCCAGGGGCTGGATTTGGAGAATGTGGGTCTCCTCTGGTTTCGATTTTAGGCAAAGAAGTCCATGGTTCATGAGTTTGCTTAGCTGTTGGCGGTGCCTCTAACAGTGAAAGAAAGGCACAGAGAACAACCCCGGGAGGCAAGCATGAGTGCACGTCCGGGTGCACACAACACAGACGCAGGCACTGCGTGGTGCACACACAAGCACGTTGACTCACAACCTGCACTTCGGCCCAAAGCCAGAGGAGGCCTGGCTTCGGAGCAGGGCGTTGTGTCTGAACTCCCCAGCGAGGAGCCGGGGTCGGGCAGCAGCCACTGCCTGGACATGCGGCCAACCTCGGGTGGGCCTCAGAAATGGCCCAGGGAGGGCGGCTGCCTGCCCCGGCCCCGCAGGAAGAGGAGCAGGTGCTAAGTGAGGGCTGGAGGCGACCCTGACGCCGGAACCATGAACGTCAACAGGAGACGGGGGCAACAGATGCTCATGGGAGGAGGTGGGCGCTGGACCCCAGGCTGGGAGACGTGCCAGGGGCCCCACGCCGGGGAACGCAGAAGCTGGAAACTCCAGACTTCCACCTGCCAGAAGTGGGGAGATGGCAGCCGAGGGCCCTCTGAGTCTCTGGCACCCAGTGGCTCACGCCTGACATGTCTCTTCTGTGAAGGACTCTAGAGTGGGGTCAGGAGCCCCGAAGCCCAGTGAGTGAAGGCTCTGGAGGAGACCCTTCGGGAACAGTGAAGGGTGCCAAGCGTCCTCACAGGGCATGCGGACCAGTCCCCGAGGCCTCCCTTAGCAGGGGTACCCAGGGCCTGCCAGACCCATGAGGTTAGGCTTCTCCATGTCTCCCCTGGAGGCCAAGGCCTCTGCGCCTGCTCGGGCCTCCCCTCTGTCTGCGTGAGGGGCCATGCTGGTTAAGAAACAAGCTTGGGGTCTTTACTCCTGGGATCGTCCGGTGTGAGGGGCATGACAGCTGAGCACATGGGGCACCCACTCCCACGACCCACTCCAGACTCCTGCTTGTGGGGTCTCTGCCATGTGTGCACTTGTGTAAGTTCCGGGAGGTAAGACACAAGTAGCCTATCCTGACAGACTCTCAAAGTGGGGCGAGGGGTACCCCTGGTCACTCCTGAGCTGCACCAGACTTAAAGAGGAAACTGGTTTGTTATGGAAGGAAATATCATCAGCAGGGACCGGATTTCCCGCCAGGCTTCGATCAGTCTGGTGTGGGAGGCGCCTCCTCGGGACACCCAAGACTCTGGAGGTGATAATGGGGGGATTTTGGCTCAGCCGCCGCCCTCCTGACCCCGAGCTCTGCAGCCTGCAAAGGAGCGAGTCCTCCCCTGTGGGGGCTAAACCAGTGGGCGTGGGCAATACATTAGAGTGGACACAGGACACGCCCCGAGGGGCAGCGCCCTTAAACCGGTGGCAGCGGGGAGAGGGAGTGTCAGCAATCAACGGGAGGGGTCCCTGGGTTGCCCAAGCGCCCCTGTGGCCCTCGGCCATACCTGTGGGGCTCTGGGAGACGGAAGGGGTGGACACAGAGCTGGCTCCCGAGTCGCAGTGGCTGGTGTTCCCGCTGCCGCTGGGGCTCCCGCTGGCAGACGGCGAGGACACGGACGGCGAGCTGTGCTGGTTTATGCACTGGGCCACGGCGAAGCCTGCAAGAGAAGGCAGAGGCTGACCGGGAGGGAGGAGACAAGCTGGCCGCCGGGCAGCGGTGTGCATGCGAGCCCCCGCCTCCCAGGTGGGCTGGGGTCTCAGACAAAGGCTGTAAGACCCAAACCCAGCTCCTGGGAAATGTGGCGCTGTCCCTGGAAAGAGCTGACCTCGCGGTCGTGGGGCTGAGTGGACACCCGCGAACTCTTCTGGGGTCTTCCAGGGGAAAGGGAGCAGCGCCTGACGCTGCACCAGAGGACACAGCCCCGGCGCTCAGGTGTGGCTCACTCTGCCTCCTCGGGGTAGCCTCGGGCTGTGCAAACGTGCGAGAACTCTGCCCACGGCTCCAAGGCCGGCAGCGGGTCCCTGAGTCGCCCTGTCAGAGAACTTGGCCCATTTTGGCGCGGAGGAAAGGAACTGGCAGCTACAATGACGGAGGCTCCATGGGCCTTGCGGCAGATCTGGGCTTGGACCGGATGGGCCTTCCCCGCACCGAAGAGTGGACAAGCTCCCATTTCAGAGATGTTCAGACCTGGTCAAAGCCTGGCTCCCCACTGGGCCCACGCGGCCACACTCTGTGCAACCTTCCCCAGCATCTAGTGGGGCTCATCACCGCCGCTCTTCAGCCCCGCGTGAGGGGAACACGGGACTTGGCGTGAGGTGAGAGCATCACGGTCTCGATAGTGAAGGGAGGCCCTTCCGAACCAACCTGGGGGCCTGTGGACCCGTGTCGTCCTGCAGTCTGCACCCCTTTTCCAGTCTGCTTTTCTAAAAGGCTGCAGTTAGTGATTTTGTTCACTAAATACATGAAAACTCCCACAGGACCCAGGGACTGATACGGAGCCGTGGTTCCTGCTGCAGCCCCCAGGAACTGGGCAGGGCTGCCCAGGGTAGTGGGGCTCAGCAGACCCTGCTGCTTCAGAGGCATGGTCATGCGTGGGGGTGATGGGCGGCAAGGTCTCCTTCCAGCTGAGAGAGAGAACCCCACCTTTCTGGCCATTCACATCAAGCCTCTCTACCCCCCCATCACACTCATCCCCACCAGCCCAAACCTCATCATGCCACCTGCACTGCTCCAACCTCACCCAGTCCAGCTCTCACTGATACTTCTTCCCGAAGGTTCTCCAGGCCCTGACCTCAGAACTCAGGAAGGCGCAGGATGTCAAACAGGTCTGCAAACTACGACCGCTAAATAAAGTTTATGGGAGCAGTGCCACAGTCCTTTGCTTAGACTGTCTGGGGCTGCACTGCTGCTCTGAGTAGTTGCCAGAGACCATATGCCATGAAAAGCCTGAATATTTTACTCTCTGGTTCTTGAGAGAAAGGGGCAGAGGACGGAACTCGGGCTTGGACCCCAGGAAAGCCTGGCTTCTATCCCTGAGCTGCTCACTTTCAGCTGAGGGGCCTGGGCAAGTCTCTACACTTCCATGAGCCTCCTTGGGGGGCAGGCACAGGGCCTGGCTGGGGGATGGGCATACAAGGTGCTTGCAGACTTCCTTAGGACTTAGGGAGACCCCACAACTGGCCACTGCAGAAACGCTGTGCTGTCCTAACGTGTGCAAGCATTTTTGTCTATGGATCAGCTCCTCAGAGACTGGGATTTCTACCTGTGCCCCGCGAGGCCCTCCTGGCTGCGGGCACTGTGAAGGCATTGCTGCTCAATTCACAGCTCTCCTGTAGGAGGCCAGCCAGAACAGGCGCCTGGTGCTCAGCAAGAGGCAGTGTGTGTGTGTGTGTGTGTGTGTGTGTGTGTGTGTGCATGAGCGTGTGCACCAGTGTGTGAGTGAGGGGAGGGGGCTGTGGGGAGGCCCTTAGATTGCCAATGGCGGATACGGAGGCAAATCCAAACACCGGCAGGGAGATTCCCCGGGGCAATCGGCCACAATCCCTGAGAGCCAGCTTTACAGCTGCTTCCTTCTTAATCACTTCAAGTGGTCAACCCCCAAGTTTACAAGCTGTTTACTTGCCTCGAAAATGAATCACCCCCTAACAAATCAAAGTGTCAACATGGCTTCCCCGAGGTGGCTTCAGAGCCAGGACAGAAGGGGCCGGGGAGCTCGGTGCTGTGTGGCCCTGACACCCCAGCAGAGAGGGTGGGTGCGTGGCTGTCACCCCTCCCTTGAGACACGGCTTCTTCTTCTTGCTCTCTATTGGTTTGCTCTCTATTGGTTTTTGTCTAGCACTTGAATTTATTTTTTCAAATTATTTTTCTATTGAAGCAATGTTGCCTTATCTTTCCTGCTCCTTAAAGCCCTGGTTTATTCCCGTAGGATCTCTGGGGTGGGGTCTGGGGGGCAGCCGAGTTGAGGCTGAAACTGAACTCAGGACACTGGAGTTGCTTCCCTTTGGGAATGGACGAGGGCTCAGCCACCGACTGGTCATCGTGACAGCGTGCTTTTGCCTGTGTTGGCCATTAAATAGAAAAAAAAAAAAAAATCACCACCCCCACCCCCACCCTGTTTGCAGGGTCTAGCTGGGCAGAGACCAGCAAATGCCTCTTTCCCTCACCTGCTGGCCCTGCAATCTGCCTCCCTGCTCCCCACCTCACCCTTCCCTGCCCTCCTCCACCTGGGCACTGAGGACCCAGAAAGGCTCAGTGTTTTGTTTTTTTTTCCCTTTTTCTTTCTTTTTTTTGCTAATTGCTTAGGTTCCCTGTAATTTCCAGGGGCTCCTTCTCACATCAAAGTGGCGTCCCTTTGAGAGTTGAGGTGCAGGAGGGCCCTGGGGAGAACCTCCTATTTTTGCTTTATCCCAGCTAGGCTAGACGTTCCTGATGAGCTAGGTCTGGCAGAGGTGCCAAGGGGCTTTCTGAGGGTGAGTCAGACACACAGGGGTGGCCACAGCCTTGCAAACCCACCGACGAGCCAGGAGACCCTGGAGCAGGGGCACAGGCTTCCGGGGCTCCGGAGACCCTCTCCCTGAGATCCACAGTCCCTGCCTGTGACTGTCTCCAAGGCCATCTGGATTCTCACACCTAGAAGGATCGGCAGTGGACCGTGCCGTGCCAGGATTCACAACACCGGCGTGTGGGGCAGGGAGCCGGAGACACCTGGAATGTCAGGGCTGAGGGAAAGGTCAGATGAATCTTAATACATCTGCGTGACGAATCCGCTGCTACATTAAACACGCTGGTGTAAAGCTCAGGTGTGAGGCGGAAGGCTCCAGGCAGGGTAAACGAGAAATGGTGCGTCCGTTGTTGTAAAAATTGTTTTAAAAAGCAACTCAGGCTCCTCTGAGCACAGAGACGGACGGAGGGGTGGCAGCAGAGGCCGGGGGTAGCAGGTGACTGTCTGGGGTGAGTTCTTTTATTTTTTTTGTGCTTGTTTGAATTTTCCAAGATTCCAACTATAAACACTATTTTAATCGAGAAGGAGGGAGGATGAAGGAGGACGGATGCAGCGTCGGGGCCGTAACACACCCTGGCACGTGTCCTGGTCTCCAAAGCCCTCTTTCCAGACCCTTGGGAACCTCCCCAGAGCGGGGCCCCGGGGCTGTGCTCCAGGATCAGGCGGCCCTGACCAGGGGCGAGGCGCATGCCCCGCTTTCTAGGAGCCGGGGCTTCACAGGGGCAGCTCAGGGTCTTCTTGCTGCCCTCTGGTCATGACCCGCCAGTTATTCTGGGAAAACAAACTAATGAGGGACTCTCTGGCATTTGTTAAGCACAAAAATACCACCAAAAGGTCAGCCTGCTATTTTAGGCCCACTGACTGATAGAAGGAGTCAGAACCCCAAGTTCAAATCCAAGCTCTGCCCAAGTGGATTCATGGCCTTGGACCAGCTACTTGACTATACTTTGTTACACGCCTTCTCCTTGGCGCGAGCAGCTCCCTTAAGCCTCCCTGTTGAGCAGATCGCTGTGGGTATTAGAGCCAAGAGCTGGCCCAAGGCCGCCCAGGGCGTGTGGATGAGCCTGCCATGCTCCTATCCTGCTTGTATCTGGTTCCAACATTCACACGTTGAGGCATTTCCATAGAAAACCTGGGTTTCAGCATCTTAGAGAATGAAAAGATCTGGCTTGACCAGGCCTGTTCCCAGGAGGCGGCAACCGGAGAGCAGGCTGGGTCTTTCCCCAACTCCGCTGGCCTGGCCCTCCCAGGCTTTCAGGTCATAATTTCTGCTTTTTATCCATAGGTTCTTACGACAGGGGGACGTTTCAATCCCCCAAAGACCTTTCCTGCCAGCCCCTCCTCAAACCCTACACCTTGGAATCACAGTGAGGGCAGCTGCCGGCCTGCCAGCGCCCAGGTGGTCAGACGCAACAAGAACCACTTGCTCTGTACCTCTACGGAGATGTTCCTTCCGCCTGGAATCCCCTTTGGCCTCTTTCCTTCTTCGTAAATCCCATCCCCATCCTCCACGGCTCATGTAGCGCAGGGCCAGCTAGGGCAAGAGCTCCCTGCTCATGCGGTTAACTGCTCTCCTGCGCTTGCGCGGTCTGCCCTGTCAGTCTCTGGGCCAGCTTGGATGAATGGAGGGTGGTCTTCCCAAGGAGGGTGTGGATTTGACTGCCAAGATGCTCTCTTATGCAATGGCGGTTATTGCTTTCACAGTTTGTGCCTGGAATCATCTGGGTTAGGTGGGCTTTAGATGGGGTTTCTGATATGGGGAGCTCTGTGGTCAGAGAACAGAGCAGCTAGGCATAGCCATATGACTAAGTTGTGGCTGATGATCTATAAATGGCACAGCACGTTAGATTTCCAGGAAGCTTCTTAAAAGGGAAACAGTTTACCTTGTTTGTTCTATTTCCTGAAACATGTCTAACATGGAGGTGATGGCTGGAACCCAGCAGCTACCCTGGGCCAGGAGGACGAGTCACATATTAGGGATGGCAGAGCACTGAGCAGGAAGGAGCTTGGTCTCTGACGCTTTTGTGGAATCCCTGACTACCTTGACGTCTTCTACCTGTGCAGCTGAACCTGATCTTAGCTGATATTTATATTTTTTTAAACAAAAAAACCTTTGTTAATGCAGGGAAGTGAGGTGAGTTCCATAAAGAGGCTGG